CCCAAGGTCTCATAGATAAATTTACTCTAATCCTGCCTAAAAGAATTTCAATTTGAGGGTAGGCTAGTAGAAATCCGGATGGGTAATAAAATTGAATCGTGTATATGCGCGCTCCACGCGTGGTATTGCTGTCACACAGAAATATACCTAACGAAAAGGGAAAAAGAGTCTCATAGATTAGTTTACTCTAATCCTGCCTAAAAGAATTTTAAGTGCTGTTATCTAGTTCTAAAGATGTATTTCATGAATTATAGATAGGCCTATACACTGACACATAAAAGTAAGTTATTTTTTAAAGATTGCTGTTTAGTAATGGTAAGCTTTTATTTTATTCTTCTGTTATTATCAAGTTCTAAAGATGTATTTCATGAATTATAGATAAGCCTATAGTGAAACGTAAAACTATGTTCTTTTATAAAGATTGTTGTTTATCTGAACAGTATAGGAGTAGCAAGTATCTTTTCAGTAAATGCTTTAACAAAACAATCCAGATAAAACAATTAAATCTATTACACGATAGTCAAATAGTCGGTTTATCACAAAGTTCTTGACATAGTCTAAAAGTTTTAGAGCAGATTTGGTAGAGTTTGACAGAATTAGTAAATATTTCAACAAAATGATATTTGTTTCTTACAGAGGGAGGGAGTTGGGAGTTTGACCAGTTTTTGTCCTTGCTTGGGGATCGGATCCGACTAAAAGGTTGGGATAAATACAGAGGTGGACTTGATGTAAAAGGTAAGAGAAGTTTAGTTAATAATTTGATAATTATACTACAAATATCTTACAATAAACAAATCCAAACCCTTTTATTTATATTCGTTTCTACATGTTTTTCAACGTGCCTGTTCTCTTTTGTGAATTTATTGAGGAATGTGCTCGTGTTAATTATGCTTTTCAAGGTATGTCAAACAACGGCTGTAGACTATAAATGTTATGAAGAATGCATAAGTTCAGCATAACATAAAACTTTTTTTTAAATTGTATGAGTATATTTGTGTACATCACACTAAATTATTCAATTTGGGCCTGATAACGTGTTGACGAAGCATAATGACAAATGTGGATAACAATCGTAAGAATATTCGAGTTTTTGTCCACTAGGAGATATGACCGGAAAGTACTCGGTTCACACCGTCTATGAAGGACACGAGATAATGTTCCATGTATCGACACTTCTTCCTTTCTCGAAAGATAATCGCCAACAGGTAAGCCAAGCAATTTTCTTTAACTTTATTCTCGCTGATCACTAATAATATTAGATGAATATTATTTTCCTGAAATAAAATACACTTTTCTTTTATTGTCCCTTGTAATACAACCACACAATTTATGGCAAACGTTCAAACACAAATTAAACAAATATTTAGAAACCACTTTAGAACAGTAAAGTTAATAAAATGTTGGTTTTGTTATATTTTACCTGTTTTCAAGTTGCTGTTCTTTGTACATGTAACAGAACATGTTACAATAAGATAAATGAACATAAAAGACAGGTTCTTTTGTTTAACTACAATAGTATGAGGGGGCCAAATGGAAAAACACTCCTAAATTTAAAATTCGAAGCACCACCATCCCTATATAACACATTTAACGGGCAAGCTCCCAAAAATGACTCCTGGAGGGGGGGGGGGATATTATGCAGTGGTAACCTTGAGAAATATGGATGCTTTTTAATTAATGTGAAAATGCAGTTTGTGCAAGGATATAAACTCATAAAGTTGGTAATGTGATGAGGACTGTTATAATTCTAATAAAGTTGGCAGTGTGGTGAGGATTGTTATAATCCTCATAAAATTGGTAGTGTGGTGAGGATTGTTATAATCCTCATAAAGTTGGCAGTGTGGTGAGGATTGTTATAATCCTCATGAAGTTGGTAGTGTGGTGAGGATTGTTATAATCCTCATGAAGTTGGTGGTGTGGTGAGGATTGTTATAATCCTCATAAAGTTGGTAGTGTGGTGAGGATTGTTATAATCCTCGTAAAGTTGGTAGTGTGGTGAGGATTTTTATAATCCTCATAAAGTTGGTAGTGTGGTGAGGATTGTTATAATCCTAATAAAGTTGGTAGTGTGGACAAAAATGTGTTTGACGCTACAAAGGATTCAGATGTAGACATATAGCATATGACAAGTACGTTAAAATTATGTTAGACACACACACACACACATACACATATATATATACGTATATATATATATGTTGTTACGTTACCCATCGTCGAGAGGGATTCCATTGGTTATTAGTATATTATAAGCACCATGACTTGCGATAGTATAGCTGGATTCTATTATAATGAATACAGTATTTAAAACTTTATCGTAATTGAATAATCCGTGCATTAAATGAGTCTTCTTAATGTGTTTTGCGAAACAGACATTTTTTCCGACGAGCATTTGTTTCTGTCTTTTAAGATAAATAAATAATAATATGTTTTAGATAGACCTTTGCATGACTAAAATTAGTTTTTAAAATCCTTATTTATTAGTCATTTTTACTTTTAAACTTGTCTTGACAATTTAAATAATCTTTTTAAGCCTTTCATTTGCACTAAATGCTGTTTTGACATGGGTACAAAAATCTTGCATTGGCATACCTTACTACCATTTTTCAACGCTACATCCACCTAGATAAACACTTAAGGGATATTTCCATCACAATAGCATAGTTATTGCTTTCAGTACGGGAGGAGTGCTACGGTAAAAATATTCTGGCCTGGAGCCTCCCACCTCCGACTACAAGCTTTCCAAATAGCTCATTATGGGGCGGGATACTTGGCTTAACTAACTTGCAAAAGAAACAACGTATACACCTGGAAAAAAGTTAAGCACCCCCGTGTTTTTTTCAAGTGATTCAGATTCG